CATCACCCACTCAAAGGTACAGTCGGCTAGAATTTAATAAAACCATGAATTCAACAAAAAATTACAACAAATCATACTTCGCAGATACAAAAAACCATTAAACGAATGCACAAAAAAAAAATTCAAATGAGTTACTCCCAATACCAATCTGCTTAGTCATGATGACTCGAGACTGGCCAGACCGAAGGCCTTAGTCATGCCAGATTTTTGTTCAAGGCTCCACGTACACCTCATTTTCTGCATTTTGTTAGTCACCCAATAATAATTTTAAACATACCCATATACACCATAATATCAGCAACATTTCACCCAAAATTTCAAACAATGAACATTTCTCCAAAAAAGAATGCTAAGACTCAACGTGTTAATAAATCATGTCAATCACGAAGACAAGAGTTGAGATTAATTTTCTTCCTGAAGGTCGAGAATACGACTACAACTTATCTTATCTCTCCAAAAGAGAATGATTTTTGCCTTTGAGTTTGCCACCTGTGATCGGCACCATCGAAACTAGTCCTCCATTATCACCCCGCTTTGGTGGATTCATGCTTGCTCATTTTGTCCTCAACACTCAACGACTCTTCTGCAATAGCTTGTCAAGACTCGAGTCATTTCGTTGTTTCCCTATGTTCACGGATTTTCCTCGTCATTAGCCACATTATATTCACGTCATCCATTTTATAATTCTCCGCACAAGAAAAACGAGAGATCAAATACACACATAACCATCTCCGTGATATAAGACATGCTCGGGAAATGACATGATTAAAAATTATGAATAATCAATAAAAATAAAATTCCACACTTTCTACAAGCCAAACGGTGGTCACCACTAGTCAAACATCCACTTTGCAACCAATAACAATACTCAAATTTAAATAGCTTGCTCACCATGCGAAAATCCAAATGAAAGGTTTCAAATACACCAAGATATCAAATTACATAAATTTAATCAATCTCCTTGAGCCCACCGATGGAAAATGATAAATGCACCAAACATACGTCAAACACAATCACAAAATATCATCAACTCGAAATTACGACCCGCATTTATTCTCAAGCAAATAATTTCTCCACGAATAAACCAAACAATTTCTCCATAAATAAATAACATAATTTCTCCATGAACAGATCAAACAATTCACCACGAATAAATCAAACAATTTCTAAATCAAATAATTTCTCCACAAATAAATTACATAAATCAAATTATTTTTTAATTTTCACCAATTTAAAAATCCTCTGGTCCATTATCTAAATGAACGCCATACCTTCATCACGAGAATGCTATCTCAAATTTACCTCCCCGTCTGAGTCGTATTGTCTTGAATTAGTCTTTGGCTCGAACCGGAGCTGTCAGACCAAGCTAGGCTAGTTTGGGCTGCTTCTGGACCGGTCTGGGCTCGAGCTGGTAGCATTCTGGGTCGTTGGAGGAGCTGAGCGCATCATGGGTCTCGCTATACGATTTCTGGGCCGCGCGCGGATAGAGGCCGCAGGCATATGAGCTGAGGAGATGGGCTGGTGGAACGCTCGGAAGGTGGGCCGCTCATGGACTAAAGCTCGGGCTCCGCGGGCTGGAGCTGTGAGGGATGTGAGTTGGACGTCGGGATAGAGCGCGGGCCGACGTGGGCCGGACGGTGTGAGGGACGCGGCGGAGCTGTTGAGCGCTCGAACTGGGCCGCTGTGATGCTTTTGGGCCGAAAGCGAGGTGGGCTTCTCTCCTGGGCTGGGGAGCTGGTTACTGGGATGGATGCGGGCCACTGTAAAGACTTGGGCCTCTCGCGCGTCAGGCTGGTGGGCTGCTCACTGAGATGGACTCGCGTCATAGCTCAGCTGCGAGCACAGCGGCGACGGCTCGCTGGCAGATGCCGCAAGAAGACGTCCCCTGTTCTGACGAAGATAACCGGCCGAGGATGCCCCTCGGCGAGAAGATTCTGATGGTGCCCTCGGTTTGACGTGGATCACCAGAAATTGCCAGAAAATTGAAGAAGAAGACCGGATTTGACCTCTATTTTTCTAGATCTAGAAAGTTTGACCGAAAAATTAACGGCCTTTTCGGTGGAATTTTCGCTTGAATTTTAAGAGAAGAACAAACACGAGAAGAGCTTCGCATGATGTAAAAAAATTTCTGATCGAAGAACTTTGGTCGACGGCCAGTGGCGGAGGCGGCGGCGGCCGGTGAAGGTCAAGTGTTGTAGACTCGCCTCAGTGAGAGGATTCTTGTGGTGCTCTCGGATTTTTGATATCCTTAATGGATCGCCGGGAAAATCTATTTGAAGGTTGGATGTTAACCAAAATTCACTAGATCCGGAATGTTGGACCCGCAAAATTGAAGTCTTCTCGGAGGAATTTTTGCATGAAATTTTAAGGGGGGAATCACCGCGAGGAGATCTACTTGGTGACCTAAAAAATTTTCCGATCGGAGCACTTTGGCCAGCACTGGCGGTGGTCGGTGGAGGTGAAGGAGATTTGCTGGAAATTTTTAGAATTTTTCGGTCAGAACTCCGTTTGCAACGATCGATTTTTGGCTTTTTGCACGAGTTCCACAGACGGTGCCAATGGTAGTGAAATGGATTTCACCCGGGCTCCTTCAACTCGAACGGCCTCCGTACCTGCAAGAAACCAACGCCGATGTAGAGATAATATGGTTTTGTTATATCTTAGCCCCCTTTTATAGGGGGAGTGTATCTTAGGACCTAAGTGGGGCTTGATCAATATCATCATGCCACGTGTCCTAGTCCATCTGTAGGCTTGTTCTCCAATACATTCTTTTTTATCCATTAAAACCGGTCTAATATAATATCTCATATCAACTGTGAGTGAAGATCAACATTTTCTCAAGATCCAGAGGAGGGCATATATCAAAGTAGAAATCAATTTTGACTCCCTGTGACGAACTACTATAATTCTACAAAACTCAATCCAATGTGGCTTGATCGTCCCCAGAGATCGATCCAATGTCGCATGAGAACTATCAATACTAAGGGGGCGCTTGTTTATGGAATAATTTGTTCAAAATGAGTTATTTTGGTTAACCATAGTTAATTTTGAAAAAGGTTGTATGGTTAGTTGTTAGTGGAATTTTAAGAATATATTAAAATAATATTTAAAATAAAATGATTAAAATTGATTTGATGTAAAAGTAGGAGATAAATGATGGAAATGACAGATAGTTAAAATTATGTGAATGGATGAATAGTGAATTAAAGTTGATGTGATGTGTAAAAATGACTAGTTTGTATAATTTAATTATATGAATAATATTAAAGATAGTGGAGTTCAGTTAAAGTTGAGTTAGATTTTGAGTATGAATTCAATGAGAATGAAATAATCTGTAAACAAGCATGCCCTAAACTTTTCAAATCTTCTGTAGAGCAAATTGAAAATGCAAACATCAATGGAACATCTGAACATGATGTGGTAAGAAATTTTACAAGCATTATTTATTTATATTTATAAAAAAATTTAATATTTTCTAATGCTATTTATTTTTACATTGTAGATGGAGTGTGTGAATGTACTTTATTTGCAATACCCAAAAAATAAAAGTAATCGACCATTCAAGTACGAGCATGTGTGGAATATTATGAAAGATTTCGCATTATTCGAGTACACATCAACCAGGTGAAACACGTTTTCATCTCAACCGCAATCAGATGCACAACCCGAATCTCTCATTTCACCTAATCTAGAACTATCTTTCTTTTTTATTAATTTAAGCGATGAAAATGCTAGTGGTGGTTCATCATCACAACGACCATAGGTATTAAAAAATAAAAATTTAAGAGAAAACAGGGAGAAGACGTATCTACAGTTACAGAAACAATGAATAAGGGAAATGAAAAATTTAGAGAGATGATAATGAGCTCAACAATGAAGAGTGATCATGACAGTCCTGATGAGACAAAAAATTGAAATCCAAAAGCAAAAAAAAAAATGAATTAAGAAAACAGTTTGTTTAGACTACCACATGGACAGAGGAAAATAAAATTTAAATGATAGATTTGGATTCCATACAAGATAACAATAATCGTGAATATTTTAAAATAAGCAAGAACGAATTTTGAGAAAAAGAGAAAGATCGCAGTCATCATAAGCCAGTAACACTTTTGGTTCTTTCAGTGAGTTTTTTCAAGATCTTGGCGGGTCTCGAAGTGGTTCTGGAGACTACTAGAATAAAAAATATCTTTAATTATCTTTTTTTTATTTGTGTATTTTGTGATTTATGTGTGCTGAAAATTTTTTATTTTAATATTATGTTATTTTTATTTGTGTATTTTTATTACGTTTGTTGTAAACTTTTAATTTTAATGAAATCTACTTGTCTGAATGTGTTAAATTTTTATTCATATAGTACCATTTTAATATTAGAAATTTATAAAATAAAATTATAATACATCAATAAATAAAAAGCACAAAATTATTTAGTATAAAAAATACATTGCACAAAGTTATTTAACATAAAAATATATTTATTAATACACATTATACAAAAATTTATAATTAATACTGCATTAAAAAAAATAAAAATAAAAAAAAAAATAAAAAAAATTGGCGCATTGCTACAGTGTTGCGTCAGTGTTGCGCTAGAAGTGACGCAACACTGTTCATTGACGCAAACACTGTTCATTTATCTGCAATAGGGCAAAAATGTAGTGTGAGACTGGAGCGCAAATTCTGCTCTATTAAGAGTAATACCCAATTACATTTTATTTCATATCTATCATACTAAAAATTAATCCATCCTTACAGTTAAAACAATTTTGAAACTCTCCAACTCATTTTATCGCATCAAATAACTTTTTTACAAACTAATCTAGAATTTTCGAATTCGCTTGAAAGTTTAAAAGTTATTAACTGATTTATAATCATGTTCATAAATTCATTCATATCCATATAATAAGCTTTCAAATACCCAAATTAGATTTAATATCCATGTTTCAGCTTTAGGTTTAGGCCAAATGACAAGAAATTACTATATGGCATATTTTCAAACGAAGTATTAAAAAATAAAAACAATGTTTAAATTATGAAGTCTACACATAGGTCATTTAAATTGCACCACTTCTCATAAAGAAACACGCAATAATAAAACAATCACACAATAAGATTAGGACGAATTTCGGACAAATTTCATTAACGCAGACGACAAAAAGAGCACACTCGGGAAAAAGCCCATTTGAGCTTTCTTGAAAACCATCAAATTAGGTCGGTCGGACAACAAAACGCCAGAGTACAACAACTACTGCAGCTAGTACACACACAAAATTCCTAGGCATAAACCGATCCACAAGACAAAGCCATCAAAAGAAACGCCGCTTGTTCTTCCTCTCCCAATTTCCTTCTCCTGTGAGTGTTCGATCTCGGTCTCTGCAGAGCTACGTCCCCGCCAAAAGCCCACAATTTCCTGTTAAATGAATCCCTAATCTTCAGGGTACTTTCCCCACTGCTGCTGGTACAACTGCTGCCGCTGCTAGTTGTGCTTTTGGGCAATTTCTTTATTTTCTTCACGTCTTTAGCGACGCCCATTAGAGCCCTTCTCTTTTTCCTGCTTCTAATCCCACATGCGTTGCACAGAGACTGAAACAGACATCAAAAAATAAATTCAATCAGATCTCATAAAAAAAAGAATGATTTATTTCTGCCTACAGACGTTTGCATCACGTGACGGACAAAGTTCAGCAATTAATCTACACCTACCATGAAAGATCCACACATGAAACCTCAACTTATTGCAGAGTAAAAACAGTCACTTACTTAAAAAACAAAAAAAAAACAAAATGAAGTGAAAAGGAATATTAGTTATTATTACCTTCGGTCCAGCCGGGCCACCCCTCCATAGAGGTGTCTTTGAGGTACCACAATCAACACAGGTCTTGACATTTGAGCCGTTCGATGAAACCCTATCAGGGGTCCGTGGTTGGCTGCTTATTTCTTCATACTCTGATCCCTGTTATGGAAAAAGCAAGCATAAATCAAACTATAACTCAAAGCTTAGCCCGACCGTTAAGCCATAACAGATGAAAATGAAAATGGCAAGTCATGATCACTTACTCTATCCCTAGATCCATCCTCTGCGACCCGTTTTTCAAAGATCCGAAACAATCCCATCTGGGATTTCAGTGTAAATGAACTGAAAATCAAGAGATGTCGCCTAATAATCCACCTGATCAAACCCAGCTACTTAGATCGCGACCCAAAACGCAGGAAAACTGCTTCAAATCGACAAATGAGCTATAATCAAGGTAGTCCATGGATGAAGGAGCCCATGACAGCAACTAAAGATTGACTAAGAACCCTAACCAGGTATTTTTGCTTCCAAGTGAGGAATGAACTAAGCTGAACTAAAACAAAACCCTAAATAGCAGATTTTTCTCTCTATTTCCCCCTAAATAGGCTCCCGTGAAGAAGGGTTCTAGTGAGCGGCTGGGAGTGAAGAGTAGAAATTTGGGTAAGATTTCTAGACGAAAACTGACCTGCCGCAATTTTAGAGAGAGAAAGTGAGGACTTGCTTTTAGGGGGCGTTTGAGGAAAACATAATTATTGAGGGGCTTATATACGAGCATACGAAAACCCTAAGGCGCGCGGGAGTGGGAAAAGACGAGAAAGGGCCTCCACGTCTCAAGAATTTGACCCCGCCAAATTGTTGTGCGAGGAAAGGAGAAAACGGTGCGAACTGCGAGGGATGGAATTTTTTTTGCTTTCAAGGGCGTTTTAGGTAATGCACTTGGTTGTGCGTTTTGATGTTGCCGCCATTGGAAATAAATTTTCATATGGGTTTTCTTTATAATTTCGGGCGAGATTTTCAAATGGAAGTGTTTTGAAAAATACTAGTTTAAATATTGAGCTTTATGAGTGAATAATGTCATGTGGATATGGGTTGGTTTATTGAGTGTTTTGAAAAATAGTAGTTTAAATATTGTGCTTTATGAGTGAATAATGTCATGTGGATATGGGTTGGTTTATTGTTTAAGGGGTCGCACTCCAGTGATAATGGTACTCAGTGAAAGAAATAAGAATGAATCGTAACCATTAGATCGTCTAATCTAATAGCTAAAAAAATATCAAAATTATAACTTCATTAAGGGTAATTTAGACATTATACCAATTGTCAGCACCCAATCCAACACAATCACCGACCCACCACTGGACCACCAAACCCCACCAACTCGTCCCCCTCTCTCTCACACACAAAAACACGCACTCACACAACCCCCTCCCCCCACACGCACGCACGCAGACGTCTGTGAAAAAATGAAAGTGTAGCTCCGCCGACGGAGTCACAGAGACCGTGAAATCAGAAGCTCAGCCGCCGCCGACGCATCACTACAGTCTCCGATGGATCACATACCGCCCGCTTTCATCTTCTCAGCCGCACTGCCAAATGAAGGAATCGCGTGCCCGTGTCGCTCCCGACCGAGCTGCCGCCGCCAAACCTGCTACTCCGACGACGTACAAACCATTCCCGATCAGGGATTTCATTGCAATTTGGGGAAAATTATTGTTTTCAATTGATTTTTTGAAGCTAAAATTATGAAATTGGTGAGATATGGTGAAATTTGTGAGATAAGGTGAAATTGAGAGGATTAGGTATCCGCCTCTGTTTCCCCCTCGATGACGGCGGTTGGTGAAGTCCACCTCGATGGCGGCAGTTGGTGAAGTCCACCTGCGGCTGCTGAAAAATCAGAAATTAGGGGTTGAAATCTCAATTTGGGGCTAGGGTTGTTTTAGTGAGAATTAGATAAACTATAGGGACTAATATGCAATTTTAAGAAATTTAAAAATAAGGTTCTTCAATTAATGGCTGAACTAGTGCATAACCCGTGTGATGCACGGACTGTATAAATTTGGAGAATAATATAATTTGACATGCATTAGGATTGAAATCATTATAGTACATAGGAACATTACTGAATCATAAAATGTTCGTCACGAAACAATCATATATTATTAAAATCTTTTTGTACACAGCATTATGAGTTTGATTATTTGGTAACTCCTCATTATCACAAACTAATATATTCAACCCCCTTTTATTAGTTACATGTGAAACAACATATAATTGGTCGTGACTAAAAACAGGTTTCTTCAGGAAAAGACCAACGTGTGTTAAAGACTGTCCCAGACTCTTGTTTATGGTCATGACATACGAAACCGTAAGTGGAAACTACCGCCGTTGGAACTTAAATGGAATCCTAGTATCAGATGGAGTGATATTCATCCTAGGAATCAAGACCTTGTCGCCAACGTTATCTCCTAGTAGAGAGTTAGTCACAACAAATCGAGTCTCATTGCACAGTCCCATAGAATGGTCCATATTGAGCAACAACATTACTGGAATTCCTATCTTCAGGTGCAACTCATGGTTGGAAGTACCAGAACACTTGATGCTATTCAAGAATTCTGGCGTGTGGAGATCTACCAAGAAATCATTTCCAAAATCCGTTTTGTTTTGGAAATGAATAACAAACTTGATTGCACACGTTTTATTTTTATACTGTTAATAAAAATAATATCTTTTAACTTTGTCACTATATTATAATTTGATTTGTTTTTAGTTTTATATTAAAAAAAAAGATAATTGTATATTTCGACTTAAAATACTCCAAATAAATTAGAAGATTCAAGTGTATATATAAAGTGTTCGTACTTATTCACCTCTCCGATTTTCTATAGTTTTTATGTAGATTTAAGTCGAATAGTCATTTTACTTTTACATTAATATCATTTTTTTTCTACTTTATATGTATATGAATGTATCAGTGTGTATGGTGATGTAATTAATTGAGTTAATTACTAAAGCAAGAATGAATAAAAAACGTGAATAGCAAGAATGAACCAATAACAAAATATTAACAAAAGCAAATAATTATTTTATTCAATCAACCTAAGTTCTCAAACCATCAAATATAATACTCCAATAAAACTAATAACCTATCGAAAAAAAAAATTATCTTCAATATCAACAATATTCGTTCATCTTATTGTTAAATGAGGATAATCATTTATCTTTGCCAGTGTCGTTCTTGCATTTTGCAGATTCTGTAGCCAATCTATTAGGATCATTAGAATGAGTTGCTTGCTTCTATTTTGATTTGAGTGCGTCCATGCAAGATCATTTTGAATTTAGCGATGGTCGATCTATAGTTACCATGGTTGCTAACCACTTCACAATTGCGAATATAATAGACACCGCCTTTCTCTAATTCTTTGCTTATCTTCGGAATATTAACATGGCGTACCAATCCAATGATTTGTGCGCCCTACAAATATAAGAAATTAATGATTAAAGAAAATGATAGTTGTATGTAGCTGAAATAGTAATAAATAAAAATTAAACAAAATAATATCTCCTTGTCTTGAAAAACAATCTGCAAGATGTTGTGGTCAAAATTAGGAGACTCACGCTCAAACATACGAACCACACAAAGTTTTACGGACCTTTCTTTGTTATTTCAATTTTATTAATGACACTAAAGCACTTCTCCATTGTTGCTTGGTGCTATTCTGAAATTTATAAATGTGTTTTTATAGATGCGTGTAAGGTGTCATTTAACCGGATTTCAGTTTGTTGAATATTTATAGGTATAATTTTCGTCTAAAATCAAATAATGTTATATAATTAAATAATAATTATTATTAATACCACATATATTCAAAATTCTGTTTTGATTGATAATAACATAATACCGTAAATCCGGTTCTTGGGGAAAAATCTGAAAACAAAAAAAAAAAGTCAAAAAACTGAAAAAAAATATAATTTTATATTTAATTAGGCCTAAAAAATCGATATACCTTTAATTATTGCTGATTTTGAATATTTAAAATTTTAGATAATGAATTTGAAATATAATCAAATCCATCCTTGTAGGAAACATAACAATATCTGTTGACACACGTGATTAATCAAATCCGTACATTGCCAGTTCAGATTATGTGTATTTTGAAGGAATAAATTCCTTTATATAAGGGATTTGGTTTCTTTAAACTATCCAAATGATATGTGATACATATATCTACATCTATATACATAAAGTTTTGCCATTAAACAATTGACAATGTAAATAAGACTAAAATATTTATGTGATTTAAACAAAGAAAATACAAAATTTCATCAATTTTTAATAAACGAAAGCTGCTAATCCCTTATATGGCTATAGTTATATACACACTTAAAAAATGAAAGTTGCTAATCATAAAAATTGTATTAGCCATTTTTCTGGTAAATAAAAAAAATTGATTTTTACAATTGTTATTTATATACGGCTCTTCGAATTTATATACACGCTTCACAAATAATTTATTTTTTTATTAAAAATAAAAGATGCTAATCATAACAATTGTATTAGCCATTTTCTGTTAAAAAAAAATTGATTTTTATTTAATCAGCAAAAATTTTTTTATTAAAAATAAAAAACTACAAAATATTTAGGAGGGTGTATTCAATTGGGATTTAAAGTGACATTTTAAGACTTTTTAAGATTTGAGATTTGTTAAGATTTCCAGATTTTGGAGAAATTCCGTGAAATCTTAAGTCTGGAGGTGGGATTTCAACTAGGATTTCGTATAAGATTTTTTGTTTAGAAATCCCACCAAATCTTAAAAAGTCATAACAAATCCTAGTGTCAAATAAATTAAATACCTCAGAATTTTGTAAGACTTTTTAAAATCTCAATTGAATACCCCAAGATTTTTAAAAGTCTTAACAAATCTAAATTGAATACACCAGGATTTCTAAAATCTTAAAAAGTCCTTAGAAATCCTAATTGAATACACCCCTATTAAATTCTATTAGCCGAATTTATCTTTCTATAAGTTTCAGAATTTGAGAAAATAAAAATTTGACATGCAATAGCGCGATGTTATGTTTGAAACAGTATCATCTTTTGTGAAAATCTTAAAAGGACACCCCGTGAAATGTGCTCATCAAATGTAACAAACTCCACTTGGTATGGACTGCATTTATGTTGTCTGTGTTTTTAAAAAAAAATAAAATAAAATTAGCCATTAATGGCAAGTCATTAATGATAAGAGACTTTGACCATAAATTAGACTTGCCATTTTTAAAAAATGGTAATTCTTATTATATATATACAGATAGATGGAAAGTCATTAATGATAAGAGACTTTGACCATAGATTGGACCTGCCATTTTAAAAAAATAGTAATTCTTATTATATATATAGATTATGAAACTTATATACAAAAAATATATGTAACTAATGCACCAATATTATGCACATTATGGGTCAGTAATTGCACAATACGGTATATGGATATGCACATTAAAAGTATGAGTGTTGCGGATTGCACATTATATGCACAATAGTGTTAAACTATATGCACATTAATGACTTCAATAATGCATATTAGCATAACAATATACTAGTGTATAGCCCATGCGATGCACGGGTAAATAATATTAAATAATAATTATAAATTAACGATGATAGTAAACAATATTAACTAATAATTATAAATTAAATATGAGGGTAAACAATATTAACTAAAAATTGTAATTAATTTGTGAAGTTAATATGTGACATAATTTATCGTATATCAGTTGTAAACAATATAAAA